TACTCCGTGTACCAAACCCTCTGCTCGTTTACAGAATAAAATGGAATAACCCACTAAAGACATTATTCCCAAATTATATTTCTATAGCAGAGAAAGTTATTTCATCTTAGAAAACTCAATTTTACTGACAGCTGTCTTCTTTAGCCACTTACACAAACACAAAACAAACAGAACTTGTTACTGCTGCTACAAAAACACCATACAACACCAGAGCTGAAGCATTCTTAATGCTCCATTTGCACAAATATGCATAAGATACCAAACCACATTTAACACCTAGATTTTACACCCACTTGCATGTTTCTGAGCCATTTTCATTACAGAAATGTGCACTCTAGGTTTCATGCATCTTACTAGCATTTGTATAATATGCTAAGATCACACTTGATGACTAAACAAACAATACACAAACTTGATGGTACATGAACAGCTGTGAAAATACAATAAAATCTTTTTCCCCACATGACTTTCTTCCTCTTAATTGTCCATTACATATCCACCTCTTACAGTCATGTTAAAACACAGGGTCTTTCTAGTGCCTCATATTAAGAGATTTCAGTCTATTTGCCAAAATAGTGTTTTTGCAGCAAGAAACTATGACTGACAAGAGTATGGATAACAGAATGAAAGAAATTGATACAAAGGAAAGTGGTTTAGTTATTTATATATGTTAAGTTTAAGAGAAAGCTCTCCCCAAACTGACTTTACTGCCCTATTTGGGATAAATTTCCACTGGGGTCACAGGGTGAAATTTCACAGAAACAGGATACAAAACAGAACACAGGACATCCATCAAAAAAGCACAGATGGATTTGATTTTTAATGCCATGACACTCAGTAACAGAGCACAAACTCAGCCTGCCAAAGTGACCTTGATAAACAGCATCATATTTAACACTTGGACACAGTGCTATGTCAAGTAAGCACCTTTATCTTGTGTTTTCTTATGTATTTTCATTAAATAGAGCCAGGTTCAACATTAAAAACAATCCAAAGGAACCTGTGGGGCAAATTCACTGGCAAATAGGGAGAGACTTAGTTTGCCAGACTGAGACAAAAAGGCTTTTAACATCCAAACCCAATTTTAAACCTTCTGTGCAGAGAGAGAACTGAAGCAACTATAAACAGAATGTTCCTGCCCAGTCTCTTAGGATTCTGAAGTGTGGTGAGTTCTTTAGACCTTGGATCTATAACACTTGAGAAGCAGAAATAACTCTATATTTCTTAAAAGTCATACCAACAACACTGACATCAAACAATTCAAAACCCATTACTGAAACACATAAGCAAACTTTATCATTATAAACTTGAAAACCCTACAGAATAAGCAGATACAGTTTGTTCTATCCACTCCCCCTCAAGACAAATTAATAATTATACCATGCACAATATAAGATGTCCACTTCACTTTTCAGTATGTTATTTCAGTATACCTTGCCAAAAAGGTACATAAGACTTGGAAGACAGACAATGTATCCTGTCTCCTAACAGCAGTTTTCATAGGAGAATGGATTGCTTAAATCTGTTTTGCTCTTTGAGATTCTGTCCATATTTAGTTAATTTATGATGACAGAAAAAATGGGGAAAAATCTTCCCCAGAAAGACCTGCTACTGACTGGCCAAATCAACAGATTTTGCAGATTATGGAGAAATTGCACTAGAGAATTCTACATCAGTAGTTTATACTTCTTTTTTCTCTTCTGTCAAGCAGTAAATGCACAGCCCCCCAAACAGCAAGAAACTGAAATCCACAAACCTCAAGCCCTCTTTAGAATTGTCAGCATGGATTTTGTATGAAGACAAGCAAGTCTTTTTAATTAAAATCCCGTATCATTGTGAAGACGTCTCTGAGCTGAAGTCCAGCACCACATTCAAACTCTGTGCAATCCAGCTGGCCTTTCACAGTTTGCCTCAGGTTTTCTATAACATATCAACTATCCAGGACAGGAGAGCCTGAGAAGCTGACTAGATCATTACCCAACTGAGTTAAGGAAGAATGAGGCATTCCCTTAAAAAAAAACACAAAAGACAGCGAGAGCAAGATCAGCTGTGACTGCTGCTAGATAGAAATGGAGAACTCAGGACAAATTTGCAGTGAGATTGGCAGGTTTGTAGGTGAAATCAGGAAGTGTGGGGAGGGCCCCTAAACCCAGGGTAAGTAATAGACAAGGCCCAAGGCCTGATAAGGCCAGGACTGCAATCTCATCCCAAGTAACTTTTCAGCCTTCTGTCCAGCTCATGTTTTGACACTCAAAGTGAGATATATAAGTAAACTAAAAAATTCAGGGAGAAGTATTTCATAGAATTTGAGTTATATCAGCCCAGGTTACTTCAAAGAAAGAATCCTTTCTCAATAGTGTAATAAATAACATTCACCATTTATCAACAATAACAATAAAATATTAGTGTAATACAAGATATTTAATAAGTCAAGCAAAACTAGCCCTCCTAAAAATTTCCATCAGTCAGAACATTTGACATACAGGAAGGGTTATGAAAATATAAGTTAGGGAGAGACATGTAGCTAACTGCCCAAGTGTTTAAGCATGCTGCCTCAATCATCAGAAGTTTTGAAGAAACTTTAGTGTTGAGAGTCCACCTTTGAATTTGTCTCAATAAGCATTCTTACTTACTCCTGTAAATCTGTTATATAAATTCAAAAATTATTGCTTTCGTATTTCTCTGCAAAAGTCATGTGCTAAAAATATATATCCATAACAAGCTAAACAATTCAGCATACCTATCAATCCCACTACTTTGCCTCCAAAAATTCACAGTGAATTTAGGCCTCGGCCTATTCAAAAAATTACTTCACCTGCAGACTCCCTCACAGCCTCCACTCATTACTGTCAGCCAGCAGCACTGTCAGACTTCAATGATCCAGGCAGGTCTTCCACTCCTGTGGTTTTTGTTGGGGTTTTGGGGTTGGGTTTTTTTTGTCGTCTTACAGTACAGTAGACTTCCAGGCACTAAGTGGAGTATTAATCTTGCCTTTTTGGTTCACAAAACCTTCAGCTAATATGAAATATTTCTGTCAGATCAGAAAATAAGGAGACTATAGATCATAAAGGAGGATTTGTAAGAGGCACCTGGATACACCTGCTCAAACTGATATACCTTAGACTGAAGAAGACGGAATTGTTTGATCAAAAAAAACTAAAACAGCCTCACAGATAAGTCTCTCCAGAGAAAGCAAAACCAGAGCAAAAGAAGGATCAGCTGCACTTGCAAGGTTTGAGGAACCCCTGGAAAACTGGAACTTGAAGCATCAGTCAGTCTAAGAAAGCCAGTAAAAGAAAAGACGTATAAGAAAGATTTAATCTTGAGTGCTGTAGAAACTGTCAGAAAGCAGAAGGGGGAAAAAAACCAAAAATAGGGCTCTGAAGTAGTAACGCTGCCACTTAGATCATCAGGGCTGTAAAAATCTCACAGGATTAATTGCTGCTCATACTAATCTTATGACTTATATCCTAATTTTGGTGGAATTATCAATATGTGTGAAGTAAACAGCATTCAGTCCTGCATGGATAGATACAGTAATGAGGGCTTACGTACACAAACGCCATCCAATATACAGGTTCACAGAACAAAAAAAATCTGAGATACTGCAGGGCTTTAAAGCTAGCTCAAATTTAATCAAGTAAAATAAAAACTTTGAAAATAATCAAGTGGCTAGAAAACAGCCTTTTTAAAAACTGATATCACACTTGCAAATACTTATCCAAACAGAAGTTTTGTTAGTAACTAATTATTTACATACTCTTTCTTTGATACAGACTGAGAGACATTCTCCCCATCATTCTTGCTATGTAGGCATCATTTATATACAGAGAGTGCCTGTAAGCCAGTAAAGACTGAAAATGTTCTCATCTTTGAGATTGAAAGCCAGATTTAAATGGCATACGCATGGCCTGATTTTAGTATATCTATTTTAACACGTGATTAATGGGTAAATAAACAAGTAAACAACTTCTTCAAGGAAGATAAATGGAAACATAATTAGGCATCAGATGAAAATACAAGTCCACAAAGACTTGATCCTATTATTTCTGTTTTGGATAAAGTACTGGGTTAGTTTTGGGGACCAAGCATGGAGTCCCAAGCTTTACCATCCATGCTTCAAAATCTGTGTCATTTCAGAAAAAGAAAACAGAGTTCTACTCGATTGTAGATCATTAAATGAACATCATCATCCCCCCCCTCCCCCCGGTTTCTGGCTGATACAATTTCAAGTTACAACTCTGCTCAACTTTATTATTTGTAATACCTTTCTTGTGGTTTCCATTCCATCTCGGCAGACACTGCTCTCTGCAAGATGGGGATGGGGATCCTATAGCTCGATTACTCCACCAAATTAACCCTTAGCATCACCCACAGAAACCGCTACCCTCACTCAAGTATCCCCAACTTTCGAACGCGACACAAAACCTTCGCAGATAAGGCCCTCGAGACCCCCCGTTACGCTTTCAGAAGGGCCACGGCCACAGCTGCACGGTGGTGCCGGCACCGCGGCCAAGGCGGCATCCAGGCTCCCGGCGGGCAACGCCGCCGCCGTCGGGAGAAACTAGGGGAGATCCCCGGCGCGTCCTAGCTGGAAGCTGCCCTGGCAGCTCGGATTCCTCCGCGCTCCCGGTGATCCCCGGAGGGCGGCGGCGAGCCGGGCAGGGGTCTCTGGAGCGGCCGGGCCACCTTCCTTCCCTCAGCGCCGGCCCTGAGGGGGCGGGAGAGCGGCAGCCGCCCTCGGCGCACTCCAGCCCGGATCAGCCCTCGCCCAGGGGCGGCCGCGGCCCCCGGCGAACACGCCTTCTCCCGCTGCCAGGGCTGCGCGCCCGGCGGGCTGTAACCTTAAGAAACTTGATAAGGGAATAAAAGGGAGGGACTTTACCGGAACCGATTCTCGGCTTCTAATCTCTCCTGACGTGCCGGAGCCCGCGGGGAAAACAAGGAAACAAACACTGGCCAGCGGCAAGAGCCCCCGCACCCCTCCCGAGCGGCTATACCTGTCCGGCAGCGGGGCGGCCGGCGCGGCACTTTCCCCCGGTGCGTGCGGGAGACGCTCGGCGGCGGGCGAGCTGCTATTTATAGTCCGGAGCCTCCAGCAGCGCGATGGACGGCGAGAGGAAATGAAGAGCTGCGTGCCCAGGCAGCCGGAGCCGAGCCCGTCCGCCACCCCACTCCCCGCCGCCGCCGGGGGGGCGAGGTGCGGCTGGCTCTGGGCACGGGCGCTCCTGCCCCCGGCGCCACCCTCGGCAGTCCCCTCCCAATGTCACCGCAAGCCGCAGGTAGGCAGGGGAGGCGGCAGCCGCCTCTCCGGCAGCCCTGCGGCCAGCAGGCAGCGCGGCGCGGCTCGGCTCAGCCGCGCAGAGGTGACCCGCTACTGCTGCTGCTGGAGGAGGCGAGACCGACACCGGGGTGTGGGAGGGAGACGCCGGCGCTTGCCATTCACCTCCTGCCGCCCAGAGGGAGCCCGGCCTCCGCGGCCGCCTCTGCCGACTGCCGGGGGCTGGGAGGCGGTGGCGGGAGCAATCCCGGCCCGAGGGGACAGTCGGGCCAGGCTGAGGTCGCTCCCGGGGAGCCCGGCGCCGGCTCGGTGCGGGCTGGCAAGCTCCACGTCGGCACCTCTAGGGGCACTGTGGCTCAGGGGAACGCAGCAGGACCGGTGGGATACGCTTGTCCCTTCCCTGTCCCGGAGCTGGGAACCGAATCTCCCTAGAAGGCAAGCAAGCGGCTGCTCGGAACCACCGGGCCGGCTGCCTTCCAGCCTCAAAACTTTGGGGGGTGGGCGATGAGGGATGCCTGGTCCTCTCAGGGAGGAAGGTGGGAGCGCTACACCTCACCTCCGGCCGGTGCTGCCGCTCCAGAAAGTACTAATGGCATCCATACACCCGGCCTTGGATCCACGGCATCTGAAAACTGGGTTCGTATGTATGGCAACAGAGGAATTAAAATAAGTTCTAAAACGTTTTACTCACTTGATAATAATCTTCTTTTAATCCGGGGTGTTTTTTTGCTACTTATTTTGTAGTTAGATAAATTCTGGCATTTGAAGCTTCAATCAATCCTTTTGAGACTACTTGTGCATTATTGCAGGACACCGTCTGGGACTTGAGCAGCATAACTCACTCCTACACTATCATTCTCCAAGCAACTGAAGTTAATACAGATTAGATAGCTACGTTAGCCTACTCACTGTCATTTGTTTCAGGATTGTATTTAGCGTTTCCTGTGTTGTAATAACTGCAGTCATCTACAAGGTACCAGAACAAGGCCTAACAATGATCTGTGCAAAGCAAGACAGATTCAGCTTTGAGAGCTTGAAGTCACAACAGAGATACAGAGACACAATAGCTAAACAAATAACATTAGAAGCTACACAAAATTGAAAGGAAAACATTGAGAAGGCACAAGAAATATTTGAGCTTGTCCCAACACCTAAACAAAGTAATACACAAAAATCTAGCTTGATGGAACTACCCCTTTGTATAAAGCTACTCATGCATAAATGTTAGCAGAATAAGGCTCCTATTAAACAAATCATCGTAATAAAGTTAAACTGCCTTTTCAGTTCAGAGATTAGTCTTTGAGCATCTCTCATGAATGATATTTTGCTTTTCACAAAGGAGTTTTTTCACAATCTTCCTTGTTAAATTTTTAATGTTCCATAGTGCAACACATTGCAGGAAAGGTCCTGCTGGCACAGGAATTGGTAGCAGTAGATTCAGGTTGCCACCAATGGCAATCTAGATAGTGAACAGGGAGCTTTCAAAGATTGGCTATGTGCAATTCAATTGCATAGGTTTTTCCTTTCTCTGTGCTTCCTTAAGAACCAAATACTGTGGTGGCTTAGTCTGTGGTTGCTTTTCAAATGAAAGCAATCCCAAACTCCTATATAAGTTCAGAGCTGAGTACCAAGTCTGTAAAATAGATGTTCTTCTAGATTTGGAAGGAAGTGCAATTACAGCCCCCACTTTCTTTTTTTCAGTAATAAAACCTTGATTAAGTTGAGCTACTGAACTTCATGAAAAGCAGTTATCAAAAATATTGTCTTGAAGAACATTTATTCTTGGGCAAGACATTGTAATATAGCCAGTAATACTGCAGACCACAGGAAGGAGAAAGGCTGATTTTTACATTAGTCTTATGTTAAGACTCAAGATATTACTGGAAAATGGCTGCTCAGAAATCTGTCCTATGTCAGAATGGAAAAAAAATATATTAGATAATCGGAGTTTCATCCAGCTCTGAAATGTTTTAAAATGGATGTATAGTCTAAAACTCTCCTTTGTCATAGTCAAAATTTTCAGAGCTTGAAAATACACTTAATTAAAAAAGGTATCTAATGCTCAAAATTATTTTGAATGTGTTATTATGCTCCCTACCTCTGAAAATCACACTTCCTAAAGTGCCTAGAGATGGATTTAGGGTGTCTAACTGCATCCACTCAGGCTTGAAAATTTTTGCCTACCTACCTGTGCTTCATAATAAATGTATTAGAAAGCTTCAGGCAAGCTATAAAAGCATTCTCAAAAAAGCAATGCTGACTTGAGCCATTAGAAGACATGACACCGACCTAATAAAGTACTTGACTGTATAATTCAGCTCATTCTGGTATATGGAAACTAGCATCTGAAGCCCAGCTTTTGACAGGCATCTGTAGCAGAAGGAGAAAAATGAATACAAAACACTTCCATATTATGGCAATTTTATTGTTAATATCTTTCCACTATTCCCCAACATTTTTCAAATCGATGTGCTTATTGTTCTGAAGTCTCCCTTTCTGCTATCTCCCCAACTCCTATGTATAACATCCTATATTCCTACTTATAAATAGGAGTCTTTAACATACTGGTAAAGGGTAAGGATAAGGAGATGAGGGGGGAAGAAAGAAGAAATAAAATCATGACAGACTTGAGATTTCCGATGGGGACGACGAGTGGAGCTATTGCAGAATATTCCTGCTCTGCTAGTCAGATCCAATCTAACCAGATGCAATCTGGCTAGCAAGGATTGCTATACCCAGTCCAAGGCCTGGGATCAAAGAGAAAAATAACCAATTGAAGAAGTTCAGGATAAGGAAAAGAAATAGGATTTAAAGACCTGTCAGCAGCTGGAGTAGAACTTCTCTGCTGGAGAAGCTCTAACTTAGCAATCAAAGTCTCCCAGTACAAGGAGGAAATAACAAGGTTGATAGGAATTTACTAAACCTTCAAGGAAAGGCAAAGGTCTAAGCAAGAAGAAATGCAAGTATTTATTGTTCTAGGCCTTTGCTCAGTCCATTTTGATGGATAGAAAGAGTTTGTTTTCAAGAAGTCCTTTTTGTGTTATCTTCGATTGGCATTCAGTATAACAGTTTACCGAGGGAAAGGACTAAATGTACACCAAACACAATTGGGGCTGTCATGCTAACCTTGTTAGAAAGCAGGGCTCTGTCAGGCAGAGAAGTTAAATTTAGGCTCAGAATCAAAGAGGGACTGAAAAGGATCTAAATCATTCTGTATTCCCAAGCAATGAAATCTCTTTGAAAGCAGAGCTAGAGTAAAAATTGAAGGCTCCTCATTCTCTGGACTGTTGGTATGAATAACTGCATGGGATAATTGCATTGTTTCTTGATACTAACTACAGTACAGCAAAGATTGTTGAATTTATACCAGCTTTTTAACTGCAAAGAACTAGGGAATTAAAAATTAAATCCTAATGAAAGCATAAACCTTTCCTCCATCAGTGCAGGATCACTCACACCCCTTAAAGTTATCTCCTGCCTGAAACCAAAGGATGCTTCTGACACTGAAAATAAACCTAAAGCATTAAACAAAAATCAGCAAAAATCACATCCTAGCAGGACTGAGCTTGACTGGCAGGGCTTCCTGCATAACAGTGACACTGTAAATTACTGCACAAAATTGAAATCCTTGCACTGTGTCAGGCTCTTGACAGAATTGGTGACCATAAACTTCAGTTTAGCTCTTAGTGCCTCACACCTTGTTACTTACACTGATGGTGGATGTGTGCCAAAAAGCTACCCTGCTAACGTAAATATTGCAGTTTATACCAAACATACATATTACAATGTAGCTACAGAATGAATGCAGAAGAAACAAGATGATGACCTAGGTTCTCCAGGGGAACTGCAAACCGCAATTTACTGAGCAAATCAAAGCTCTGACTTTGCAGGTTGCTCTGTGTGGGCAATAGATTGTACCAGTGGCTCCACTGAGGCCTGTGCAGGACAGTATCAACATCAAACAACTTGCAGGATCAACATGTTCCAGAGGAAGAGCTGTGTAACTAATAACATTGAGGTGAAACTGAAACTGAGATGAGTACCATACTACCAAATACAGAAGAAAGCAATGTCTAAGCATTCTTCACTTAAGTAAGCACTTCTTCAGTTGTCTGAAACGATCACAGACTTTTCATCAAAAGACATGGAGGAAAAGCAATACAGAACTGCTGCAGAAAGCACTGCAAAGAGTATCACACTGCGTACTAAATTAAAGAGGGGGGTAGTGCAAATAAAAAAAATCCCAAACCAAAATTATGTCTTATGCTGCCTAGATTCTACCTCCTGCTGAAAGGCAGATGGATTTGTTTTCTTTACATTTTGGCAATATTTATTGTGTTGGTTGTACAAATAGGGAATGATTGTAAAAAAGTAACCCTAATGTTTTTCTGCGCATTGGCTAAAACATGCAACTATTTATCATCAATCTGAACAATAACTTCACTTCTTGCCCCACTGCCAGGAAAAAGGCAGTCGTCGAAATACCAGACAAAGCACTATTACACTATTATTGTTCTTTTTTTTCAACATCGTTTTCTCTCAGTTTCAACATTTGTTGCTGTGCAAAGTTTTGTGTAAAACCAAGGGACAAGAAGCAAAGTTCTTAAGGACAGAAAATGTGATTTTATGAGATTTATTTGATGGTTGGAAATACCATATTCATATGACACAAAATGCTGAACAGCATAAGCCTTCTCTATTGTTCAAAACATTTTAATGGCGAGACTTTATTGAAATAGTCTCCATGTGAGGTATCATCTCTTAGAGCTTG